TGAACAGCAGCTTTTGAAAAAGCTCCGTAAGATGAAGTTCTCTGTGTTTGCATGCGGATGACGGCAACAAAGATTTTGTCTCGCAATGTCAGAGGTGCGCACATTTATCTCACTGTGCGTCGTGTTATTGCTTGGATGAGAAGATTTTCTTTGGTGATGGAGAAAATCTTGAGACATTGCATACTGGACTTTTGTTGACCTTATGACTTCCCCCACCCCAGACTTCTGGCCTATAAAAACAACCTGTATATGTGGAAAAAGTCAGAGTACAGTTTGTAATGTTTGTACCTATGCACAGAAAATTAAAGGTTATGTGCATGTGTGTGTACACATAAAGGCACATTAGGTTTTTATCATGCTGGAGAGATTATGTCCCTCTGGTGCGGGGGTCTGAGCATCTCTGCTGAAACTGCTTTTCTGGTAACCAGGCAAAAAATGGATGGAGTAACTGTAATATGATTACTTAATTTAGGAGCAGTGTTGCCTGACATTAGTGCATTAAACAGAAATGTAATGCCATTACTGACGTATTACAAAGTAACACTGCTGACAGTGGAGCTTAAAGCTTTGTTTTCCTGAAAAAGACAGCCCAGTGCAGCTGCGAAACATTTACGAGACATGTATGCACTGACCTGAAACCTGAACCCTTCGGGGTGTCAAAGTGTCATTTCTCAGAATATTAATTAAGTTCTACCTTAAGTGAATATGATAAAACAGGCTAATTTTAGCAATAAGCACAATAGCACCATACATTCAAGTAACCTGGTTTTACTTGAGCTGTTGGAAGTTCTTGGGGTTAGCAATATAGCCCACATGCTTCAAGGGTTGTCATGTTGTGCGTTCGGAGACGCTCCTCGTCTGCCTTGGTTGTAACGAGTGGTTATTTGACTTGCTGTTGTCTTCCCAGCAGCTCAAAGCAGTCTGGCCATTCGCTTCTGACCTCTAACATCAATAAGGCATTTTCACCCAGAGAACTGCGGCTCGCTGGATATTTTCTCTTTTTCTGACCATCCTCTGTAAACCCTCGAGACGGTTGTTTCTGAAATACTCAGGCCAGCATGTCTGGCACCTAGAAACATGCCACCTTCAAAGTCACTTAAATCACATTTCTTCCCCATTCTGATCATTTGATAGTTGGGATTTTCTCTTTACCTTACAATATAAAGTGCCTTGGGGTGACTGTTGTCGTTACTTGATGCCATATAAACAGAACTATACTGCAGGACATCTTAAGCTGTGCCTAAATGCACAGTTTCTACCATGTGATTGGCTGATTGGATATTTATATTACTGAGCAGTTAAACAGGCGTACCTAAAAAAGTGGTTTGTGAGTGTTATCATGTCCAGTATCTGCAACACACAACATAAATTCATGCAGGACTTTTTGTTTTCTTTTCAGTGGTATTAAAAAAAATCTAAGCAGATTTAGAGCTGATACAGATTTAACTCGTTATGAACTGATGATCCGTGATGAATCATCCATGATGATTAGATGTAATAATTGTAATAACTGCAACTGATGTCTTTTATACACAAAGAAAAGGAAAAAACAAAAAACCGAGAAAGAAATCCAGAGAAAGCGTGCAACCACAGTTTAATGAAAGCTCATTAATGCCACAGGCAGATCTGATAGACAAGTTATTGCATTGGTCCTAATTCTCTCTCTGACACACGCCCACATGTTTGCTCAAGGCGTCTCCTACATCTCTGCCTCATCTAACACGCAAAGTAAGCCGGGTAGGAGCTGAGAGGAGGATCACGATTGCATTTTACAAGCTGGTTATTCGGGCTATATCTGGCGTTTCTTGGCTCCTAGCTGTGGTGTTTCATAAGGCTGGGGGCTGCTTTCATTAATTAGTATTTACAAATATTAACCCCGCATCCTCCCCAGGGGCAGAAGTGTACTGCAGTCATGCTAATGTGTGAAAACAACAGAGACACCGCGGGGACGTCCTGTTTTGCTTCATATCTCAGAGCCTTTTATCAACACCCAGGCTCGGAGTTAAACACACACACACACACACGAAAACACCTGGACCTGTCTCAGCTCACAGCTTTATATCTGGTGGGAAAAACAAAAACAGAAACACAACCTGCAGAAAGCTCAGAGGCGAACTTTACACGAAAGTTAAAGTGAGACAGCAGCAGAAGGCTGGCAGCTTGTAGTTGGGGCTCGTGGCTGTCTGCTGAAATTCACTCATGTCTTTTTCTTTTCTTTTTTTTCTCATTTCAATTCATTTACATACTTAAAAGGGCCAAAACATTCAAGGAGTTCTTGTGACATTGCCAAGTAATCTCTGCGGGAGGGTGATAACATGTCACAGCAGACTACATTTCAAAGCCGATGAGTCGGGTTTGATTTTCTTCTGGCATCAGACTGAGAACTGAAGCCTTTGTTTAGCAACCGTCCTCCTCTTCCATCATCTAAACTCTAAATGATGTCATCAGCCACTGTACCAGAAGTGGGACATCATCAGCATCCGGCAACATGACTCGAGGCTGTGGCACATTAGACGACTACCTCCCCTCTGCAGTGGTTTCATCATCTGTGTTCTTTTTATCAAGAAGTACTATAGGAAGCTTTAGTCAGCCGTGAGCCACATTTGTCGCTAAGTAATGACCGCAGGGATCGGAGCGGACACAAATCACCAGCTAAGGATTGTTTAGCATCGATTAGTTCTGCAGCAAGCACCACAACAGCTGAGTCTGAATACAGCTCGAGATAACAGAAATTTCAATGAGACGTATTGAAGTCTATTAATTGAGGTTCGGTTTGCATGTCTGCGTGAGAGGCGAGCTGCTGGGCTGAATTACATGCACATTGTGAGGCAGGCCATTGTTGTTCGCAATCACACGGAGGCTTTGTGAAAAACTGCTAGGCTGTGTGTACCGGTGGTGTTTTTGTCTGAGCGCGGTTCAAGCAGGAGTCATGAAGCCTGTTCGAATCCTTTTCACGAATGCTTTTATGAAAATACATATGGGAACACGCTGTATCGTAGAGGCGGGACAAGAGGAAATACCCACTCCAGATCAATAGATGTGGGCAGATGGTGTGGGTGTTGAGAAGTACCTTTAATGTTCAGAGGTGGTTCCAGTTTACAATAATGAAGCAATGTGGGTTGCAAGCAAAGTTACTGGGGTTAAAGAGCTCAGGGTTTGAAGCAATTTTTTTTGTTTATGACTGAAGACATTGTAAAATAGAGCTGCGCTTGGTTTTATGGCCCAAAACTTTAACATTTACCAGCAATGCGAGTAAAACCCCTGGGTGCTATAACTTGCCAGCATAAACAAGCGTGCAAGCACAGTTTAGCAGCAGAAGACAAATCCTTTACCACCCAGAGTTGGTCAGAACTAAACAAAACAACAGGTGATTAGTTAAAAATGTATAGACAGGTGAGTGGTTGCTATAAATGGCGAGGTGAAATTGGTTGCAAAGAGGAATTTTGTGCTTGCAGGGAAGATGACGACTTGTTTGCAAACAGTCACCAACCAAGAGACGGAAAACATTTGCCTTCAAAGCAAGTCTTTGCAAATAAGTTAGCTTCTTCCATGCTAACTAATGAATGTGGCAGTTTGCTAGTAACCAAAGCAATTGTTTGGAGGATTTTGATGCAGCACGCCCTTTTGCTACAGTCAGTAACCTTCAGCAACCAATCACTAAATAAGAACACGTATTTTTTCTTCTTCTTCTTTGTAACTGGAGGTTGCCAACCAGTCTCTAGGCCTGTGACGTCATAATGATTCAAACAGATGTTGTAAACCAAACTGAATGTGTTACTTTAAAGGCTTAATAATCATTTTTGTCAAAAAAGCAACAAAAAGTTTCCTGTGAAGCATTTTCTCTGCACGTAATTTTGGGGATATGTGTAGACATTGTTGCAACTGTACACAAGGGTTTTAAATGTTTCCATCATTAACTCTAAAAGTTTTCTGAGGACTGTTTTCAGGATTAACCATCTTTGAGTCCAGTTATTAAATCTAATATAATCCTGAATAACATCAGTGTCACAAACTGTCAGTGAAGCCATCCAAGTAAACTATACAACAAAAAGTTCTACAGCAGCACCACTGGATCCTTTTGGAGGTCTAGTTTAAATAATTCCAGAACTGTCTGTGTATTTTTTTTTAATCTTTCTTTGAACTCTAAAATATCAGTGTTTCCACTGGCTGTGCAAATCTAGTATTAATGAGGCTTTGGTCTAAAATGTAAATACATCATTTAATCAAGAGAGATTTATTTCCTTTCATGTTCACTGAGTCGAAATTTAATTTCCTTAACATTAAATTTTTTTAGCCCCTCTGAGAATGAAAAAACAAAACAAAACATCTGCACTCTCATGAATTTTTTTTTTTTTTCTGAGCCCTGCTTTTATTTATGCTTTGGATTAAGGCTTGGAAATTTAAGCTGTTACTAGAGCAACGATTAAAATATAATCCTTTTGTCAAAGGTAATCAAAAATGATCTTTTAAAAGCATCTTTGGTAATGTGTGTGCGCCTCTATAAGCACGCCTGGAGGGTGGTGGCTTGTCAGGCTATTGCACTACCCCTCACAATTTCTGCGCTCACAGCTGGATTAAAAGTGAGAGTTTAATGGTTTCGCTTTTGCTTGAGTGGAGCTTCTTTTGACCTCTGCTGTGGTCTAATGGTTTCGCTGTGTGGCCACTTCAGGGACCAAGGGGACACTGAGAACATGAGAGTCTTGCTGGCATTCATCGGTGGTATTAAAATAATGAAATAAAAATGAATGCACATGTGACATTTCCAGTTTAAAATCCATCTGTTGTTGGGGAGGATGTGTTCAGTTCCCACAGCTGTAGGGGTGTTTGAAATGAAGCTAAACACAACATCTACATCCATCTGGAGGGACGGAAAACACGATAAGAAAAGCCAAGCACAACTAGGAGGCAGTCACGCCATATGGGCTGTTAGTGCGCGTGCACGTGGGCGTGTGAGAAAGAGCCAGTTATACGAGACTTTTGTAGAATTAACATCGTTTTACCTGAAGAAACGCTGACGAAGGAGACAGTCACAAGTAGTAAATTGGCAACGTTCATCTCCTCACTCTCCCGGTGCCAAATCCGCCGGAGTCTGCAGCTCTCTTGAGGGACTCAGCGTCAAAATGATCAGTTAAACCAAAACTCCAGTCATGGAAAAAAAGAAAAGAAAAGAAAAGAAAAGAAGAAACGGATTTTACTAAAGAAAACTAGCCGAGCTGATGGCTTTGAAAACGAAGTCTCAGCTGGAATATTCAAACGTTTGAGATCAGCCCGAAAAAAAACTTTGATGTCACTCCCAGGAACCCATGACAGCAGCAGGATCAGCATCAGCATCAGCACCGCCCGGGAGGAGAAACCTAATAACAAAACTCAGCAGCATCACTTCTTAGTGTCCGCATGGTCGCTCACACGCACAGCGACTTCTTCCTAAGATGCCCCCTCTGCTGCTGCCGAAAACAAAACAAAAAAATAAAAAAATAAAATAAAATAAAAAAGATGGGGTGGGGGGGCTTAACTATATTTAGCCCGGTCATAAATAAAACAATTCCTCTCCTCTTCCTCTGCTCAGAGTCGGGCACTTGCAGGTTGCAGCGTCAGTTTGAGCGAATATGAAGCGCTGAACATGCCGAGCCGAGCTGCGCACTCCCAGATCCGCAACAATCCTCGCCAACCTCCAGGAGTCTGTGTTTTAAAGAGACAGACACGACATCTGCGCTCTCAAAGTGTACTCACAGGACGGGAGCGTGAAATAAAACTTGCAGAAGGGGCACAGCTGCTGGTCTTATTATGAACTGTGGTAGTATAAGCGTCAGTGTGGAAGTCACTTTTATTAGAAATGATACTTGTGTTTCAGGTAAAGGGTGTGCTTTTAATGTCTATATTGGCTAATGACAAAAATACTGAAAACTAATTATGGCTAATAATGTGAAGATCTTAAAGGTGGTTTTATGTCTAATATTAATGTAAGCCAATAGAAATGCTCTTGGGTTGTAATGTAGGGCAGCATTACAATTTCAGGGTCACACAAAAAGGCTGAGAACCAGAACCAGTGGGTTAGAGGGTAAATCCTAGACTTAATGTTCAGATTCCAAGATCTAAACTCTCAGTAGAATAAGTTACATGGCAAATATGGGGATTTTTAATGCCTTGGCATCAGCATAGCTTGGCCAGAACTGCATTGCATTTTTGACTTGTGAGTCCATCCATCTCTTTAACGCCTGAATAAAAATGTCCTCAAATTTGTAACAAACAAATACTTGGACCTGGAAGATATAACTTCCTTTAATTTTGGTGATTCAGGTCAAAAGTTCCTTTAGCAATAAAAATTAATTTTGGCTGCAGCTCAATAATCTATGAAAAACTACAGACATTTTTAGATCAACATCCCAGGATAAAGTGCTGAAGTGTTGACGCTTTTCTGGTCATTTAATCCGTGCGGTAACTTGGTAACAGCAGGACAAGTTAAATTCAGTTTTATTTATTTAGTTTTAGTTCACAGCCACAGTCATCGAGCAGCACTTTATATTGAAAGATAAAGACATATATAGACCAATGTTACAGAGGAAACACCGCCAATCAGACCATCTCTACTGAGCTAGCACTTGAGGACAGTGGGAAGGAAGAAGTCCTTTTTCACAGGAAGAAATCTCCAAGAAAATCAAGCCCAAACGGTACAGTGGGTGCAGGAGCAGTCTGAGATTAAGAGAAAAGATTTCGCTGATGACAGAGAGATGATAAATAGAAAAAGGACAGACTACAGCAGTTACTGACATGAAGTTGTGAAAATAATAAGAGGAAAGTGGAGGAAAATACTCAGAGCGTCATGGGTCCTCAGCAGAAGCAGAGACTACAGCAGAATAACCAAGGGATGTTTCATGGCCACCTGATCCGGCCATCCAGACATCATTTTAGTAGTAGACAGGGTGTCTGTCTCCTGAACCCAAACTGGGAGCTGGAGAGAGGAGCCTGGTAGTTTGTTCTACTTTTAGAAACTAGGAACCGCAAGAAGCCTGCTCTCTGAGAAGTAAGCACTCTGTTGGGACCATATGATACTCTGAGGTCTTTAAGATATGATACTGTCTGATCATCTAAGATTTTGTATGCGGGGAAAAAGATTTTCAAGTTAAATCTGGGCTTAACTGGGAGCCAATGAAGAGACAATAATAAGAGAGAAATATGATCTCTCTTTCTAGCTTCCATTAGTACTCTGTGTACTTCAGTGTGTTGAATCAACTTAAGGCTTTTCAGGGAGCTTTTAGGACAATAGCCCTAAATACAGTAGAATAGTTTTTCATAAATCTGATTCAGGATGTTTCTAATTTTGGCACTTTTGTTTTCCATCAACTTCCATCCAGGGATACAACCTGGGCCAGATGGTAGTCTATTACAGGGCAAACACAGAGAGACAGACAACCATTTACACCTACAGACGATTTAGAATCAGCCTGCAACCTAACATGGATATTTTTGGACTGTGGGAGGAAGCGTGGGAGAACAAGGTACCGGCAGAACATGGAAAATCCACACAGAAGAGGCTCAGCACCAGGTGGATTCAAGCCCAGACCGTGCTCTAACCACACCACTGCACCATGCCGCCTAACATTAATTTATCAGTCATCACTACAGATGTTATAAGAGTCTGGGCAGACATGGACATAAAAGCATTTTGGGATTCAGAGTCTTGCTCAGGAACACTGATTTGTGACTCCATGCTCTGCACAATGCTATTTTAAGTTTCCTCAACCTCAATAAAAGCTAAATTTATTCAAGTAAAAGGCTCTGTTTTCCTTTAAAGTGACACCAAAACAGTGTCAGTGAGGTAAAGTTTTTAATGATTAAAACTTAAATTGAGTTTTTTCATTTCTATTATCACCCATTAAATTGATATTTGAGTCATTTTTAGCCACTAGTTGTTGTATTCACTTTATTAGTTCCTTTTCCTTGACACTTCACATACATGAGTCTCAGTTTCTGGACGCTCACAAAGATGAAACTTGTTCCTCATGCTTGCTTGTGCATTTTCCCCTTTTGCTATAAAGCCCCTAATGAGAGGTGCTTTCGATGTAGAAGTAACAATCTGAATTCGCGACAACTGCCATTGTTTATCCGTAATCACTCCAACACCTCAGCACAGCCATAATCACTCTCTCACTTTCATCATCACTGTCGCTGCTGCTGAGGCTGATAATGATGACAGAGAGCGTCAACCGTGTGTGCTAACATGTCCTGCGTCCTCTCCACTTCACATCATCTCAGTCCTGCTGTTTGTCATCCACTCCCTCATGTCGAGATTTGTTCAGCAACTGCTGTTTCACACCCACTCTTCCACAATCTGGCCCTGCTGTAGCCTCTAGAGTTTGGCCAGGGTCTTTCTCTCAGGGAGCTCTGGACACAAACAGCTCCCTTGGGGCGGGGCCCAGACCCATTCCTCGGTGCCGTTGCTCCATCTCCCTCCACCTCATTGTGCTCATGTCAGGTTGTGAAAGTCCAGCATGATTGAGAGTGACTTTTGGATGCTTGATGCCTGCTTTCCTTTGTCCCTTTGAATAGGACTGGAAATTGGGCAGCAGAAGAGGGGGTCCAGATGTCTGTTGCATGGCAGGAGACAAAGAGGGGCCCCACAATAGATTCGATCTCTGCTTCTGTGGAAGTGTGGACCTTATCAAGGGCCACAATGGCAAAGTAGGTATAACACAGAGGCATCTCAACAAGAGAGTGGCCAGAGTCCTGGAGGTATCAGGTGGAAATAAAGATCTTATTTTCCGTGGAAAACCTCAGAGAAGTCATCAGTAAATAATGCTGATTAACAACATTCTGCTTAGATGTAGTTAGAGTTGTGTCTTTGATGTTTTCCTTTCTCCTTTGTGAACATGCAAAGATAATACAGGAGTACTTCCAAAACTCCCCTGTTTTACTTGTTTGTGCATCTTTCATTAAATCGGAGTTCTTATGAATCAGTTTGTTTTTCAGCGCATTAGTGAATAATCAGTGATAGTCATTAGACATTCAGCCAAGGCTGTAGTTATTTGTACATGCCTGCTGATCAGCTCAGCTTTGAAACATTTCAATTAAAGGAGCAGATGCTGTGGGAGAGAGTGTTGCACCTATTGTGTTCAGAAGGTCGTGGAGCTCATTCAACAATAAGGTTCGACACTGGCCGGGTTTCTGTTTGAATGTGTTGAAATTACAACAAAATTTTGGGGAAAATGTGAAAAAGAAAATTTGAATGAATTATGTGTGACCACTGATATTAAAGCAGTTTTATCCTTAATTGTCGGGATAAAATGTCAGTGGTGCTAATTCTGCTATTAAAACAAAAAAGGAGTCACGCAGAGAGCGTCAAAAACTAGAAAAGTATGGGGAGAACTTGATGGGAACTTTTACAATGGTGCCAGGTATTAATTATGAGTTTTTAAAGTCAAATTTAATGTAAGATTAATGTAAGATTATTTTATTAGTTTAAGTTTTGAAGAACTTGTTGTTCTAACACACTCACAGACAGATAGACAGATAGACAGATAGATAGGGATAAAATAATAAATCTATCTGATCAAGAAATTACTCATCTTTGGAAAAGAGAGTTTATTACAGAGAAATGGCTCTTTCCAAAATAAAAACTATACTATATGCTTCTTCTGGGCTATATTCTCAGCAGCATATTAAACATATCAGGTCCCCATAAGGAGAATCCTGTGCTAACAGCTGTCTAAATGGATTGGGTAAAGTTTGTAGCATGCGTGCTTGTTGTTTTTGTCTGCTTCCACTTGTCTTTGCACTAGGATGATGTCGGCGTAAATGTGCAGTCATATTGTTGTGTTCCCACTAGTGCTGTCAGCGTTAATCTGAAATGACTTAACGCCACAACACGCAAATCTCCGTTAACGAGCTACCGCGGATCGCCCCGTGCGTGGGGCTGGACGGCGTCAACACGTTAACAAGCTAACTGCGCTAACGCACTAGTTCCCACAAATTGAGCATTGCGTGGCACATCCGACATACTGTTTTACTTTTGTCCATGACGCGCTTACCTTCAGGGTCTACGAGCCCTGCAGGGACATGGGAGAAAAAAAAATAAGAAAAAAATTAAGACGGACTTTTGCGAGATCTCGCAAAACAAACTCGGGATCTCGCAAAAGTTTTAGCCGCATTCTTCGGAGGCCGCCAGCTCGAAGCTGACCGGGAGGTCGAGGCACGATGTGCCGGGAGAAGCGGTGTTCCTCCCGGCTGTAGTAGGTCTCAACCTCCCGTTAGCTTCGAGATGGTGGGTGTCAGATCTCGAAAACGTCGGAGCACTTTTGCAAATATGTGATGTCTTGTAAACCGAGCAGATATCTGACGTTTACACAACTACATTCACGCCTCAAAATATCTTAAAAGTGTATTTTGTGACCCAGAAAGAGTAATATTACAACTAAGTAGCTGCCGCCATTGTTGGAATTCAACTTTTGCGAGATCCCGAGTTTGTTTTGCGAGATCTCGCAAAACTTTTGCGAGATCTCGCAAAAGTCCGTCTTAATTTTTTTTTCTCCTATGTCCCCTGTGGGGCTCCGTAAGGGTCATACTTCACATGAAGACCAAAATAGTTCCAAAGGCCAGATCTGAATGAGGGTGGGGGAGGTTCAATTTGCCATGTTGCAACGAGCTTAGCTTCTGTCTTGCTAGCTTGCGCTGTGCTCAGTGGATCTGCACTCGACAGTGC